TACTTCAAAAAAAAAGTCACTGTATCCTTACGGACTAAATGCCTATCTAAGTAATACCACCAATAGACAGCACAGAAATCTCTAGTATATGGACAATTCAGATTTTTTAGCAATACTACTACCAGAGGAATCTAGAAGAGGTGATTCCAAAAACAAAATATTTTTTTCAACACAAGATCTGAAATTAATTATTAAAAATCTTAATTCCTACCTTGGACATAAAGAATTCGCTAAAAATGCCATAAAACTTCTTCATACCTTTAAGAATACTAATCTTATGGAATCTGATTAAAATAATAAATCAACTATTCTCAATGCTTCTAAATAGTCAAAAGATCTGATTATAGACTTCTTGCAATTTTAAACTAAAGAATAGTAATTTTTTTTTCACAAAAAACTTTTTTGTACTATTCAGTTCAAACACCCTTCTTACGATCAGTTAAAAATACCTAGCATTTTTAAAAATTTCAACACTTGCTTCCTGACCAGCCACTTCAAATTAAGCCCTGTTTAAATTTGAAAAAACCTTAGGTCAACTTGTTATCAACCACCACGTTATACAAGATAATAGGAAATGTAATTGCCTAATGCCTGTCTACAAAAAATATGTCGATCCTTTCCACCAACATGTTATTACTGGAGATCTTAATATCATTGAAGATATAGAATTACGAACCCTTATGCAACTTGGCACCAAATTTTCGGCCTACTTTCGGTATTAATAAGCACGTTTGCCTCAAACAATTCAATAATGATCTTGATAAATTTATCATATTAGCTAGTAATAGATCCAATTTACCTACTACAACTTTTCTTGAATGGAAAGCTGCACTAATTAAAGAATTTCAACATTTGCTGTTCAAGTCACCTTTTTTCAACTCTTTACACAATAAAAATCGTCTAGAGGATCTTATTCAAAAACTGCAAGATAACTTTATCATCACGAAAATTGACAAAGCCAGCAACAATTTTAGTGTTATTTGAAAACAAGTTTTACTTCAACCTTCTGCATAAAGAAGTTGAATAACACCTGCACTGTACCAAAAAATCACTACCAGTACTAAGATTCTTCTCAATAAATTTAACGCACTACATAAAAGGCTTAAAATACATCCCCAGAAATATAACAACAGGTTTGCCAATCTCTATGCATTACCAAAATTTAATAAGTCTCCAATAAAATTCAGGTTTATAGCTAATAGTACCAAAAGTTATCTTAAAGAAATAGATTATCTTTTTGCACAAAAACTTCGTATAATACGTGACCTAATTAATAACTATGATTTTAAGGATCTGCATTACAACTGGATGATCTCTAGTAACGAACTAGTTCTTAAAACTGTAAATTCACTTAAAATAGACCACATCCAATGCTACGACTTTGAAAACATCTATACTTCTCTACCACTTGAAGAAATATTTACAAGTTTACTTGCTCTTCCAGATTTATTTCCGCAAATTTCTACCATTATTAGCAACGAAAAATGGCATCTTTTCCTCTACAGCGTGCTCTTCAATAATTTTATTCAATTTAACAATAGCATCTTTAAACAAGTGCAGGGAATCCCAATGGGTGGTAATTTTTTAAGCTCTGTCTGTGAATTATTCCTTTTTACAAAAGAATTGACCTTTGTCCGTTCACTCAGTACAGAAGAACATAAATTTTACCAACACATCTATAGATATATTGATGATGTCATTGCATTTAATAACTACAACAAAATAGAAGTTGCTAATATCTACCCTACATGCTTAAAACTAAATAAAACAAATACAGAGCAGCATAATGTAGTCTACCTTGATTTACATATTATTGATCACAATTTTATAAAAGTTTACGACAAAAGAAGAGAATTTAATTTTTCCACACTAAAATTAACCAACTGGAATTCAAATATTTCCAAAAGAGTCATCCTTAACACAATTTATTCACAGCTACTCAGAATAAAAAGAATCTGCAATAATGCAAAACACCTAAAAGAAGAAATACTATACTTCGTAACTATATTGAAAGTAACTTATTCCTCATAAAATAATTAAAATTACTTTAAAAAAAGCTTGCATTAGCCTTACCTATTTTTAGATTTTTTGAGTTAGATAGTGATATTTTATGCTTAAAGCCCAATGTTAAGGTATAAAGTGGATGGCTGATTCAGAGAATCTAATGTAAAAAATGTACAGATAATTCTTGTTACTATATTTTCTTTCCTCCAAAAAATTTTGGCACCATACTTTTAATACTATTGTTTAAATAGTTTTAAATTTCTTTGATGGCCAATTTTACTTTTTTTATTAACAAATCGGGCCTTTTCGTTTTTCATAGTAGCTTGATCGCTCGCTAGCTTGAAGAATTACGACTTTTTATTAACAAAATGACTGTTTTTTCCTTTTACTCTTACTTTAGTGGCCAAGTTTAGTAGTTTTAGCTGAATTAGCCATTTTCACTTTCAGTAACAATTTTTTCTTCCAACAACTTGACTGACGCCATTTTGAAATCTTTACACGTTTTTCCGAGCCTTCCGACCCCCTTCGAAAATTAGAGACGAGTTACAGCTAACGGACAGTCTTTTCGTATTGGCTGATGCCCAAAAGACATCGCTCCCCCCTACTTACGTCACACGACGAGTGGGATGACGCTGAAGTCCACAGAAGGGAATTACAACCCCTTTTCAACTTGTTTTTAGAGGGAGAGCTCTGCATCGCCACAAGTCAGTTTTTTCCGTTTCTTTTACTACAACTTTTTTCTTGGTCTTAGCAAGACCCACTGTGATTGTTTTCATTTAAATTTTCTTTTAAATTTAATTACATATTTCTAAATTTTATAAAGGTATAAATCTTTAAGCTAGCAGGTCCAGCCCGTATGTTATTGTATATTTAGGACTAATAGCAGACCGCTATTTATTTTTATTTTTATTTTTGTCTTGATTTTTGATGTAATCGGAATAGTTTTCACATATTTTAACACCTTAATGTGTCATTTTGTGCGGACGCGTCGGGAAATAGGAACAGAGAATTGAGACTAATAAATTTTCCAAGACATTTTGTCTAAAAATTTTGTAGCGAAAAAGTTTCAATTGTCTGTTTCGGCGAAACGCGTAATGGAGTTAGCTTGATTCGACGTTCAATTAGATACTTCCCTTGAAAAGCCAGATTGGACCTCGAATTCAGCTAATTTACCATTTCCTGCTTTCTATTTTTATCTGATTTTGTTCGTTATACGTTTTAACTTGTTCCTTGGTTTGATTTTCATATGTTTTAATTTTTCAAGTGTCACATCCATAGGTATTTTACTGTATTTTTTGCCATTACTAGTTTCCAACGCTTAGTATTTTACTGTGTTTATTTTCTTTTACTCGTGTAGCATAATTTCTCACCCTTCAATGAAATTGTTTTTTAAAATGTGTTGAACTTTTTGGAGCCACAGCTCCTGGTAACTTTTAGGCGAGCTTACTACAATTTCTAATTTACTTAATTTTGCAGCATATTGCGCAAAATGTTATCTAGACCAAATTGGTCATACAGTATTGTACTAACTACCTTGCTTATTATATTTATATATATATATTCATAAGATAAAAAATCTTAACTTTAAGATTCAATAGCCCCGTATGTCTTTTCATTTGCTTATTTCCTCTTTTCATTTAAAAAAGTAGCAACTGCTCATAATAAATATTATTAAAATGCCTTTTTGGCCGCTTCCATAATTTTTTTGCATCATTTTATCATATTCTGTACGGTTGCTGCTTTCTATCAGAATGTCTATGAATACCGCAGTATACGGGTTAATTTTTCTGTAAACGTTTGACACCCATACTTAGTCGTGAAGTGTTGTTTGTTCTAGCAGACAACTGGAATTTCTGCGCTCAAAATGAGTATATTCAATACTTTTGGATACCACCTCAAATGATGAAACCAAGGGTCTCTTACTTCTCTTCCTCTACATCAAGCCTCTCAAGATGACTTTTGGCTCTATAGTAATTTAAATACCTTTATACACAAAGGAACTATACACTTACAAAAAGTTATGTTTTCTCCAAGATTTTAAATCAGAGCCCAAGGCTATGGCAGTAGTCTTAACCACAACCATGCCAAAAGTACGGCACATTGTCTATATATAATTGGTGTTTCTTTTAAGAGAAATTTAAATATTGCTGATTTGGACAACAGTTTAACTTTAAGACTTAGTACATTTTATCAGCTGGATTCGTTGAATGACGCTTCGTATTTTAATAAAATGTGAAATTCTCTCTATTGCATTAATCTGAACAAAACTAAGAATCATGTTGTTAAAACAGTAGACTAAGGCACTAACTGCCAAAGAAACTGAGCTACTTTTTAATCACATTTAATATGCTAGATGAGAAAATTTGTGTAGTGCTGATTTTGATATGATATGGAAATCCAAAATCATTCTAAAGCAACAGCAATCATTGTAAAATGCATCGCAGAATAAAAAAAATAGAGCAGTGTTCGAATATCTTCCTTTCGAACCTTTTTTTTAAATCACCTCAATGATAAGACATTAAATAAAAGCTTAAGCAATTTAATTTTTATAAGTTTTAACTATTCTTTTATTACATTTATGTTTCTTTTCAAACTTATATTAACTGATGAGCGAGCTATATTTTTTATTGTTTATTACATTCGCTTTACGTGATTTCACTTAGCACGATTTACTTGATGCATTATTTAATTACGCTAAGTTAGATTTTTCTATATAAAAGTACAGTAAAATGAATAAAATCTTATCTTTACGTTTGCAAGGACAAAGCATAAGTAAACAGGCCGAAAGACATTGATCGTCAATAAAAATCTCTGCGAGTTCTCGTATGTAAAGAAACGAAATGTTAGGAAAAGAGTCGGGGAGTATACGGCAGAAATTCGCTTATCTTCGCAGACTTTTTATTTCATGAAAAAACTTTTTCTTTCGACAACAGGTACAATGAGCACAATCTTATTCAAGCGAATTAAATATTTAAAATGAATTTTATTTAACTGACCTGAATACTTCTCCATATTTTTTCCCTAGATCCATGAGTTTGAGATGCACATTTTTAGTTAAGAAAGGTAAATATCCAACAACTGGTAAGCCAATAGGTCCGGGCGGAAAATTTCTTCTCTGTATAATATATGTGATAATCCGGTGCAAAATTAGAGGAAGAAGAATGTATATAATAACAGAAGGAATATTTTGCAAATAATCCAACAGTGCCATATTTGGAGAAAATTTTGTTGCGACCGTAGTTGAGCTCTCTTATGAGCGCTAAAAACTTTAGTAGGTTAATCATAAAGTACTAATGTTTAAAAACTGATAAGATAAGGGTATTTATTCATTTTCCTGCGTACAGAATCTGTAGTGATAAGAACTGCATGTAGGGAATATCTACTTCTGTTGACTTTGATGAAACTGATCTGAAATATAAAAATTTTTTTATTATTGAATGAGATTTAATAGTTTCGGGGAGGAATTCCTTTTTTTTAAGTGTGTATATTTTCCGGTCCAACTTGAAAATTATGGTCAGAGTTAAGAAGAAAATAGCTATTCGTTCAAAATTTAAATATACAATTGTTGACTTCTGAATTCTTTATAACTGAATAGTATTGAAAAGAGATTTGAGTAAAACGTTTTATGGTTACTTTCTCCTTGATTTGTAAATGAAAGTAAAGAAAAGTGGAGAAAAGTGTTAAAGCAACCTCTTTGCATGTAAATAAGGTCGGTTTTCTTACCTTAGATTTGTACAAAATAAACGTAGATTTTGTACCAAATTTTACCAATTTTAAGGATAAATGATATAGGCCCTTTCTCAGAAGGCAGTAAATTTTATTGTATGAGCGAAGCAAAAGGCCGAATGCCAAATAAATAGGAGAGAAAAAGAGATTCACGGAGATAGATAATTTTAATACAATTATGTCCGTTACAGATTACAGTTTCTTTCTCTATAAATTTTCAATCATCTACTAACTGGTAAAACTTTTAGAATAAATCATTTTTAAACATTTTCTGACGTTGCTTAGCAACGGTTATACGATACAAATATGGCGTTGCCACTCAAATGTCAAGGATAAGGAATAACGTAGATAAGGAATCTTACAAATTTTACAAGAATTAATACTTGAGAATGTTTTTAAGTAACAAATAACGCATTTTTGTATCTATAAAAAGTAACTCAAAATATGAATTCGAGCAGAATTATAAGGTATTTCTCCCGCTTTCCTATCGTGCGTTCGTGGTGTAGTGGTCAGCTGACAGAGCCGGTATTTCAGAGATCCGTTGTTCGATTCCCGGCGAAGGCGATTGCATATTTTTCATCTTTCTTGTTTCCAAATTAACTAATGACTCTAAAGAATAAGAACATAATTAATAGATTTTAAATCACTGACTTTCTGAGGAAGGTAAAATATGTAAAACAAACCTGAAAATATAGTTAAAATCTTTTTTTAAAATGATGAGATTTAGGAGATGAGAGAACAGAAAAAAAAATATGATAACCCCAAATGTTGAAATCAAATTTATTATGAATAAAGAATGTTAAAGAAAGGAAGTATGTTTAGCGATTCAGTTTCAAGTGCCATCTGAATGACTGACCCAGTCAAATTCAAAACAGACAAAATAATTTTAAGACCTGTTTATTACAATTAAAAAAGTGAGAAAGTGTCATGAAAATAGAAAATCCAGGGCGGAGAAGAGAATGCTCCCTCGGACTGGTTTATGAACAAGACGACCGCCCAAACAAGATTTATAGCAACAGCCCAGCAATTGGTATTGAAACACTGATCTAAAATTGTTTCTTGCTTAAATTTGTTTATGAAAGGCTGCTTCTGTTTTTATACATCTGAATGGCTTTATACCACAGTATCCATGGGAAAAATGCTCAGTCCTTTAATTTTATTCCCAGATTGTTTACTCGATATTTTTCCATAATTTTTATTTAAAAGCATGTTTCTCTATGATGGTTGTCTGTGTGGAAACCAACTATCACGTTTCTGAGAAGGAATCAAATTTATTCGCTGTATGATGACATAATTGAAATACATTTGCCATTAAGATAATATTTGTCATTAAGATATTACGTTTGTCATTAAGATAAGATGCAAATAAAATTAAAAAAATGACAATAAAATTATTTCAATTAAGTTTATAATTCAGGATAATTTGAAACTACAAAATGAAGACAGAAAATGAGCTTGAAGATTCATTCCCCTTCCAGACCACAATTAATGCTTGGATATAAATCGTAACTTGTGGGGGTTGAGCTTATAAGTTATCCCAAGCTTTGCGTCAAAAGTTGGCTTTTTATCATCTGGTAAAGTGATATCGAATTTTTGTAGAATGGATACAAAATACAGGAAAACTTCCATGTAAGCCATCGTTTCTCCTGGACAGGCTCTCTTGCCTAAGAAAATGTAAAAAAAAGTAAATTAGAAGAAACATTTTTCATTGGGACAAAACCGATAAATATGAACAAACTGATGATGTAAATTTATGCAAATGATTGAGTATTTTTTTTTTTTTTTTTTTTTTTTTTTGTACTGTATTATGTAAAGTTTTTATTAGTTTTGCATTATTGTGTACTTTAGTCATTTATTTATTATTTACTGTTTGGTTTGAGACTTATTATATTGTTACGGATTTGGTATTTAAATAGTTAATGTTAGTTGAATTGTAAATTAAATGGTTTTATTTCCTGCGCAGTGCAGCGCGTGACGAATATTAAAAGAAAGCTAAGCCGGAAAATTGAAAATACAAGAGCGCGTGCATTTAACATTTAATAAATATCTTTTTCTGATTTCGAGAAAGTTCCAGAAAGTTCTCGCGCGCGATATAAAAATCTTATAAAAAGGAGGAAAACCTCTCAATTCAGTTAGTCAGTTATTTTAGTTAACTTGTTGTTTTAAGAGTTTGTTTAGAAAACTGCTCTTGTTGATTGTAGCGAATTCGCGGATTAGCTTTCTTTAGCTGTTTTGAATTAAGTTCTCTTGAACGTTTGAGTAGTTAGAAGATACTACTGTGATATATTGTGATACCGCACGATTATTTGAGGACATTTAATCATATTTGTTGTGATAATAATAAATTTTCTTCATTTTTCATCGGACTTGTGCATTCATTTCGTAACGAACCCGTACGCACGCAACAGTTTTTGGTGTCAGAAGTGGGATTTAAATGCCAATTATTAGAGCGATTGAGGAACAATTGAGGCAGCTAATTACTGCTTTTGCTGCATTTAAAGAAGAGATGAAAGACTCAGTTAAAGAAGAGATTGGATCCGTTAAGGAAGAAATGAAAACTTGTCAGGAATCCGTTCACGAAAAGTTGGAAGCTGGTCAAGAGAGGATTGAAGCAGGACAGGAAGAGATGAAAAGGGAAATTACCTGCATAATAGAAAATAAATTTGAGGCTATGGAAGGCAGAATGGACGCGGTTGAAAACAAAGTTGGGCAAACTGAAGAAAACGGTTCTTCTGTCAAACAACAAATAGAACAGAGAGTTTCGGCCGTAGAACAACAAATCGATTATAGAGTTTCTTCAATGAAAGATCAAATAGGAGAAAGAGTTTCCGCTGTGGAGCAACGGATAGAAGGAAGAGTTTCTGCTATCCAACAACAGATTGATGACAGGGTTTCTGCAGTTGCCAGAGAAGTTGATAATTTAAAGAAATTCGTAGCGACGGCAGGGAGCACCTCGGATTGTTTAAAATTTCTACTCATGCCTGCTCGTCCTTCTCTGAAGCTATCGACATATCATGGGAAGACCTCCTGGCAAGTATATAAGACACAGTTCTCTATAGTGGCGGAAGCAAATGGATGGGATTTCCAGGTTAAAGCCTGTCATCTCGCCGCTTCTTTAAGAGCAGACGCAGCGGATATCCTTCAGACCCTTCCTGAAAACAAAAGGCTAGATTTCGAAGCTCTGTCCGGCGCGTTGGAGCTGCGCTTTGGGGAAAAGTGTTTAAAAGACTACATTAGGCTTCAATTAAAATCACGTCAACAGAAGCCTACCGAAACACTCCAGGAGCTCGCCACAGATGTTGAAAGGCTATCCCATCTCGCCTTTTCGGAGTGCCCGACAGAAACAAGAGAAATCCTGTTCCTGCAGTATTTCATCGACGGCATCCGGGATCCTGAAATACAGAAAGCTATTCGAATGGCAGATGTGAGGGACATAAAAAGCGCTCTGTTGTACGCTATGAAGTTTGAGGCAGCTGAGCAAGCAACTAGTATATATCGTTACCCAGTCAGAGCTGTGCGAGTCCACGAGCCAGTGTATCAACTGATGGCTCGTTTAGATGATTTAGCCAGAGAAGTCAATACTTTGATACAGAGTAGGAGTGAGAACAAAGTGTCTGTAAGGTGTTGGAAATGTGGTATTGAAGGGCACAAACGACGGCATTGCAGAACACCCCAGCGCATGGATAATAAACTGTATGATTTGACAAGACCATTGAATGCCTTGAGACGAAATATTGGTGAGAAGGAACCAACCATAAAGTGCTGGAACTGCGGTGTTGAAGGCCACATACGAAGGAATTGCAGAACACCCCAGAGCACGGAAAATAAGAGAGGCGGGTTAAACAGACAATTAAATGCCATAGGACGGAAAAGATTGACAAGAAACTAAAGTGCTGGAACTGTGGAGCTGAAGGCCACGTACAAAAGAATTGCAGAACACCCCAGGGTACGAAAATTGAGACCATTTCTGAGCAACGACGCAGGAAACAAATTAATGACCATATCAAGGAACGGAGGTTGCCAGGTAAGGAAAAACCTTGTTTTAAAGCACTCAAGATTTCTACGGTGAGTGGCAACAGTAACGGACTGTCGATCAATGGGCATATCGATGAGTTCCTTGCAATATGATCATTGACACAGGAGCTAACGTTACCATCATTAGGAAAGATTTAGCTGAACAGTTTAAAGAAAATTTTATTTGGACGCCATCCTGTGCTACCCTTCAGACTGTGTCTGGTGACAAGATAGACATAGCTGGGAAGTTAAACCTGAACATCACGTTTGGAAGTGCCGCCTACAACCACACGGCATATGTGGCGGATATTACAGATCTATGCATACTCGGACTGGACTTTTTAAGGAAATACAATTTTTCCTTAGATTTCAAAAACAATAAACTGCTTTCAGGATCTGAAGACATGACTATCCATCCTCAGAAAGGATCCTCACCTGGAAATGCCGTCGCCTTGTTCGAAAGACCCCCGCTCGGGAAGCTGCTGAAATCATACTAGGGTCGAAAAGAATCGCAAGACTAACCAGCTATTCCCCATCACAAATGCTCTTCGGTAGTGACATTCGTCTGCCTTGTGACCGCCTGTTTGATCGCCATACGGATGCGCCTTCATCGCCTGAGGAATACATCCAAGATGTCCAAGCCCGTTTTGAAGTGATGCACCGTTCCGCACGAAAGCGAGTCAACCTGACGACGGAGAAAGTGAAGTCCAGATACAATACGGCCCACCAGCTGCCGAGCGGTAAAGTCTGAACACTGGTAGTTCGGTCCGAGGTTCGAATTCCGCGAACGGGCTGGCTGCATGGGCGTTTTCATGGTTTTCCCCATGTGTAACGTGTATACGAGCCAGTTTCCCTAGAAAGTCCTCCACGAAGGCATCCCTCCTCTTAGGCAGATGGCCCTAGTGTGCTTTGCCATAATTAAATACACAGATACAACACGAGAGCTACTGGACATAGATCCAACAAAGGAGACAAGGTGTGGTTGTGGAACCCGATTCGACGAAAACGAGTCAGGCCTAAATTACAGTCACCTTGGGATGGTCCGCACACAGTCATAAACAGGCTAAATGACGTCGTGGTTCGGATCCTTGAATCTTCGAACTCTAAGCCTAAAGTCGTGCTATACGACAGGTTAGCTCATTACTATTGTCATAGTACGTAATCTAAATAATTGTAAATAGTGTAAGACCATGGTCCTTTTTGTTTCTAAATGTGTATTTAGTATTTGATTTGTTTTATTTATTGCATTTATTGTTCATGTTGTTTATTATTGTAATGTAATGCTTATTATTGCATTTATGCCACAGTTGTAAGTTTGGCTTCCTGTCCAGTCCTTGGGAAGGGGGCAGTGTTACGGATTTGGTATTTAAATAGCTAATGTTAGTTGAATTGTAAATTAATTGGTTTTATTTCCTGCGCAGTGCAGCGCGTAACGAATATTAAAAGAAAGCTAAGCCGGAAAATTGAAAATACGATAGCGCGTGCATTTAACATTTAATAAATATCTTTTTCTGATTTCGATACAGTTCCAGAAAGTTCTCGCGCGCGGTTTAAAAATCTTATAAAAAGGAGGAAAACCTCTCAATTCAGTTAGTCAGTTATTTTAGTTAGCTTGCTGTTGTTTTAAGAGTTTATTTAGAAAACTGCTCTTGTTGATTGTAGCGAATTCGCGGATTAGCTTCTTTAGCTGTTTTGAATTAAGTTCTCTTGAACGTTTGAGTAGTTAGAAGATACTAATGTGATATATTGTGATACTGCACACTTATTTGAGGACATTTAATCATATTTGTTGTGATAATAATAAATTTTCTTCATTTTTCATCGGACTTCTGTATTCATTTCGTAACGAACCCGTACGCACGCAACAATATTGTAGTTTCCCACACACTTTTTGCCAAGTTAAATATTTTTTTAATTTATAGATAGTAATATATTTTTATTAAATTAATTTATTATTTTGTAATGTTATTATTTGTAACTTATTAAGCTTTGTAATTTATTATTTGTATGTTATATTATTTTGTAATGTTTCGTATAATGTTCCGCAGTTATATATAATGAATATTTAAATTCCATCAGCAGTATATATAGAAACAGAGTATATCCTGATAACATGTAAAGGCCTTGAAAAAAAAAAGTTAAATTCTATCGGACTTTGGCAAAAAAAATATTTTATAGATTTTTGTCACCAAGTTGATAGCATCTAGTGATTTCTCTTCATAGTTGGAGATATTTTGGAAGTTTGCAGAAACTCATGTTTGTAAGCTTATACCTGAGCGGAATGATTTTTCCAGAATATTACAGCAATCCTTTTTCTTTTTGCTTTCCTTTAGGAGAAGATAAATAGAGCTTATGAAAAGCCAGTGTTTTAGTCAAGGTCAGTTGAAAAACAAAGTTTTGCTCTACCAACGCTCCAGTTCAATGATATCACTTAGATTACAGAAGTGAGAAAGACGGAAAACACAGTTACTCTTAGTTCCCCAAGGCAGTAGTTGCTTTGGAGCTGACTGTGATGTCTTACGTTCAGAGATTTCTGGTCGGGAAGAGCAAATCATGCGTATAATAACCTTGATTTTCGGCAGCGTAGTCTGCACTTCTATTGAGTTTAAGTATACAGCGATTTCAGCCTTTGTTTATGAGAAAGTTTGCAATTCTGTTGAATTATTTGAACAAAGCAAAATTTTATGGTAAGTGGTCCTATGTTTCTGGCACTAAATTTAAATTCCTATGGCAGGGAAGATAAAAGCGATAGCTTTTTCTTATTATGCAGTCGTTCTACTTTTTTTAATTCTTTATCCGATATAAGTATAAAATCGTATTCTAGGTTGAGATCAGCTAAAGCAGAAGACAAATCTCGACAATTAATTATAAAGCAAGCAAGCACAGAAACTACAGTCATTCAGTGATCTTCTTAAATTGATGAATTCAAATGACGAAGAAAGGTCAACAGATGATCTTCTATTTTACATAATTCACGTTTCAGACCTTCCACTAATACAGTATTCTGATATCTTATATACCACCATCTCTTAGAGTTTTAGTGTTTTTATGAATTTTCTCAATTTTGAAAAGTAGAATTGTACTTTACATGCATTTTTTTCACTTTATATGTTGTGTGTTATTGTTATATCATTCATGCCCTTAATTAAGTTAGTGTTATTTCAGGTTTTAATGTAGGGTAAGGTTTTGTAAGTCTTACCCCCAGAGAAAAAATAGATATAAATTGTAGGGACTATGAAAACAAAAATTATGTGTGGTAATAATATTTTGTGTTGTCGCTGCTGATTTTTATTACAATAAAATTCTATGCAGTCTACTGTCTTGGATAAAATTAATAAAATTTATGAACAAGAACTTAATAAGACATATACAACTAGTATTCTAAGTCGTACTATACAGTTTAAGTCGTACTACGTTTGGAATTGGACAATTACAATAAAACTTTCTTTTTCTCAATTAATTTACTTATCCAGTTAATTACAAAAATGTTCACAAAGATATTTTTTCAGCTTCTTCAACTTCTTCATAAGTCACGACCTTTGTATTTTAGACACTGAATCATAATCTCTTCGCGGTCTTGCTCACAAATATTACGGGGAGACGAACACGATGTGGCACAATATGATTGACTAGGGGGTAACATATTTTGCCCCGAAGAGGCGCTATTGGTGTCATATTACGCCTAACATTTAAAAGGTACGACTTAAATGGTGGTACGACTTGCGCAGTTTTATCCTAACTTGATATCTGATCTAGCAAATTATATTTGTGTCCTGAGAATGTTTAAAAATTATTCCCTTATAAATTTAAATGATTCAAATGGTCGGACAAATTTAAATGATTCACATGCGAATTACTGCATTCGTCAGGAATGGCCATTATGAGTTAGTCATTTAGCCGTCTCATCACCGAGAACGTAGCCAAAGTGAACCACAGGGAGGGGGATCGATTTTACACCCGAGATAAAGAAGTTTCGTCTAAATTTTGATGGAGAACAGCTCGAGAGTTGTTCCGAGGATTTCCCACCCATTTTCTACCACCAAACCTCTCCAGAGAAATTTTGACTCACTAGTATTTTCAGTGCCTTCCATGCCGCACAGACACTATATATTTACAAATAGCCAAGCTTTCTCCAGAATTCAGAGCTAACAATATGTACTGGAAATCAGCCTCATTTGTGAAAATACCTAATTTGACCAGATGTTTCCATTTCAGCGAAAAATAAAAGACTTATAACTGAATATAAAACACTTTTAAGGATGCTTTCTACAGTTTGCACTTACCAACAGAAAAAGGCAAGAAATATTTTGGTTTGATGACAGATTTTCCATCTTTTCCAAGAAATCTCTCTGGTTTGAAACTGTCTGGGTCATCCCAAACTTGAGGGTCGTGATGTGAAGCCCATATATTCGCCATCACAATGGTGTCCTTTGGAATATCATATCCCGCAACAGTTGTAGCTGCCGATGTACTTTTGATAGAGAAAGGAGTTTTCATTTAAAGATTTTTGCTACTTTATACATATCAAATTCAGTTTAAAATGAACATCATAATAAAGAACTATAATAAAATGATACTGAAAGAAACAACATATTTTTAACATTCGAATTAATTACTCTTCCTTAATATTATTAAAACATTCATTTTGAATTTAACGTCTTTTTAGGACTTCTTCCTCTTATAGAAAACATGGAATTTTCTAAAATTATATTTGATATTTTCCGGAATTGCGTTAAAAATAGCATCATATATCTATAAATACACATTTTTAAAACTAAAAAGCGTACAAAAAGTCCTGATCACATCCAAAAAATTACTCATGAAAATTGTAAACAATAGAAACGCCTTATTTCCAGATATTTCTAAAAACTGTAAACTTTTGCTCCGTGATCAATTGGCTTACGTCACGGCTTAGTGGTTAATCGTGTAAGGCAGACTCTTGTTTTACCGACTTACTAAATTTGTATTATATGCCCTTATGTTACTTTAAAAACATAAGTGCATATAATACAAATTTCTCTATCCAACAAATATATCTCATTTGTTCCCATTGCCATTTTGTAACAAGATGGTACACCTCTCTTATTGAGAGAATTTTTTTCAATAGCTTGTTAAATTTTACTAATTTAATAGTTCAATAAATTATATGTGCTGTATTATGTTTTTATATTGCTTTAATGAATTGAAAAAATAAAAAACAAGTAAATGAATTAACAGCATGATTAAGGTTACATTGACCTAAGAAAAATAAGCGATTGAATAATTAGAATATTAGATATCTAGAATCTGCATACCTGAGGGTTGAATTCATATTCTTTTTATCTTTATGATCACCTTTTCATCTTAATTGCTTAATTTTTCATAGCTATTTTGTGCATTTATTCGTTCATGATTCAATTCAAATACCCGTTATTATTGCTACTGAAACTGTGTGTCAAGAACATTTGAACAAAAAGTCGAAAATTAGATTTATTTGGTAATGGAAGATAAAATGAAAGGTTTTTAAAACGTTGCTAAAGATGAATACTGCATCTTGATCGAATACTCTCCATTTTCTTACGTGCCTTGCTTATCAAGTGGTTAAGATGAGTTTTTGAGATTTTTTATTATTATCAGGAATGAGTTTCGTAGGGTCAGTTTTTGTCTAAGAGAAAAAAGAGTGTGAGTGTGGAACTAGAAATGATAATTTGCAGCCTGCTCAAAATTCAAATTTCCAAACTTTTGCAACACCTTTGAAACCAAGAAGTTTAAAAAAATGATCAGATCCTGTAAACATGTATGTCATTAATTTTGCCCTGTATGAAAGAAAACATGAGAATCTGGCTGGACAATAATCTTTTTTCATTAAAGTAAACCAAGTTACTACCTATAAATTCTTTTCCTATAAAATTAATTTGACTTGACCCAGAATATTAAGAGAGAAACCTTCCAACGTTCTTTGATCATTAACGTTTTGTGATCACCAGTTAGGTTAAACTCATCTGCGAAATTTCAATTTTCATGAAACTTCAAAACATATAATTTTTATAGCTCAGCAGATTGTCGAATGCAAAGAAAACATTCTTGTCTAACTTCAAGAAACTTGGTAAATCAGAATCACGTTACGATAACTTTATGCTTTGAATATATTTTAGTACCTCATTTCATAGGGACCTCTTTACTTTTCATGGGAAATTTCGCACTAAATTTACTAATTGAAAATTCATCTAAAAAAGTAATTTCATCATACTGATGTATCCAGTTTTATGGATGTAATGTAAGGGCCTTTTATTTAATCCCTTAGGCAAGTACATCAGTTCATAAATATAAATCGTATTTTATTTGCTTACTAGCGTAAAAGATTGAGAGGTACTATCGTCTTCCATCGCATAACTTCTAAGAGTACTGCATGACTATAAGGCATTTCTTTTTGGATTTGAAATTCTGGTTTCTTCTCAGTCCCCAAAATATCCATAATTTCCTTTTGCACTTTTTTCTGTATATCTGGGAAAGCAGCCATGATGTACAAAGACCACGAAATGGTGGTCCGAACAGTCTCGGTGCCAGCGCCAAACAAATCGAAAACGCATCCTTTGAGAGATTCATCTGAAAGATAAGGTTCTTTTTATTGCAGTAGAAGATAGGAAATATTATTGTATATATTTATAGTATGTTTAATCCATTACTTATATTTCAAATTCACGCTTTCAAGAAGTACTTAAATCAAAGTATGGTTAATAGTAAAGAAGATGTGAATCGCATACGAATAGTAAATAACAGTTACCAACTAACAGGTAACAGTCGTCATCAAGCAGTGCTGATGTAGAGGTTAAGTTTCTAACAGTTATTTTAATTTTTAAACATGCTTTACTGTCTATTCTCGTTTCTCACCTACTATTCCCTGCCAGAATAAGTTTTTAGTATCGCACTGCATGTAAAGTAGATAAAAAGTATTTAAAGGAAGGTTTCGCTTCAGCAGAAGAGCTTAGGATTCCTTAGCGGCGCGTGTTTACCGCCAGGCTACTTCGTTGTTTAAGCTATCTACGCTCGGCCTTATCGTATGTGCCTGCTGATATTCGCCACTTATTAAAGGCCAACTTGCGTTAGATAATTGTGTACAGTTTCGGCTAAGTTCAGTTTAGTTTAGCATTAGATTAGTTTCTTATTTTCTTATATTGATTTAAACTCCAAGTGGAGGCTTTTCTGTAAGCCCGAGAAAGAGGCCATCTGTGTTCTTAGTTTGAGATAATAAATGGTGAGTTTAACCCTTCTCTGGACTTTTCATTTACACACTTGGATTCAGCGATACGTCACTAAGTAGTTCAACAAGGTTTCTGCTAAATTAAGCATAGACAATGTAGTTAGAAACATTCCATCATGAAAGCTTTATAGACAATATTTGAGGTACTTAGCGTCTGCCACAGCGTTTTTCTACGTTTAGAACGAGTAACTAAAACACTAGTTAAGCGACTTTGTTTCACAAATTTGAGTTGGAATTCCCTAACTATTTTCTTTTAGGATCACGCAAATTTTTTATTACTTAGAGGCACTGTAGGTTTGAGTCAGAAAATATATTTAGTTTTTCTATCAGAACTAACTGCAAATAAGTGTTTTTGTTGTTAGGCATAGATTAAGAAGACATCATTATTCTTGTAGCGACAAAGATAGCTCATATTATGTTTGACGTTTTCCTTTCTTTAAAATCTTTCAGGGTGATAAAACACTAACGATTACTGATTGTAACTAGATGATAGATAGTAGTAGTAAAAGACCATATCTTACATAATAATAAGTGATCAATAACTAAAGCTAGTAACATTATACCATTATTCCGAGCGAAAGCGATGAAGATAATAAAAAAGAAGAAAAGAGCCAATTTTAATAATAAAGACTATCAAAAAGTATTTATTTGAAATAAGTTCCGCATGCATACCTGAGAATGTTGTCTGAGGATCTTTGGCTTTCCTTACTTCCATCTCGATGAGGTAACTGTCGATGAAATCACGGATGTCTCTCGGATCAAGTGTTTTTTTGTGCTCCTCTGCTTTCTTGCTAAAGTACGAAATCATAAATTACATAGATATTAGGTTTTCTACGCTGAAGAAAAAATTTATTCTGAGTTGTCTTTGCATTAAAAAAATTTAAAAGGATAAGCACAGTGTAGCCATAATCAGTGTGAATATTTTCGGTTTTAGTAACGCAATGGAAGAGAATATTCTTTAATGTGAAATCATAAACCTCTTTCACTTTGGCAAATGTATGTCAAGATTAACAAAGAATGCTATCTCCGGGTATTAAACCTGAAATAGTGTATTCAAGGATAAAAAAACAGATTCTATTAATAGCAGAGAAAATTGAGTTAGGTATTAAAAGAAGCCAAGCAATTTTGGAATGAATAGAAGTACAAAATGGGATGTCAACGAGATTCTTGTGATTACATTTGACAGAGAAATAATTTCTAGCAATAAGAAGAAAACGGTTTTTCAATAAAAGTAGACAAAATTTCAGTGGCAAGAGTTTTTAGTAATTGAATCCCTGGACAACAGAAGATTAAGAAAAACAAACATTAGAGAAAAGACAAACTTAGGAACAGGAAAAAAATTTGAAAAGTTAAGTTTTCATTTCTGATCAGGGTACATCTTTTAGCATCTTGTATTATTACTTGTTTGTTACTGTTAATTAATTATATTTAGTACTGAATATCAGATTTTAATTTTGAATTTACAATTATCCAAAAGCACAGAACTCTTAGCATTCTGCTTTTAGATTACTTCAAATTCAAATCAGTGTCAAAAATCAAAAAGAAATGAGACCTCACATCATTAAACACATAATTTCGAATTCAAATATTGAGTGACTATGTTAGTATGGGTGAGAAAATTCAAATTTACGGATGAATTTAATAATTTTTACATGGAAAATAAAATGACAAATGTAAAACAAAGCACGAAAGTAAACTTTTAAATTAGGAACAACCCTAAAATATTAGCGTAACTTTATAGATAAATTATACGAGTTTGGAGGAAATATGATGCGAATTCAAGAAGTAAAAGTGTTTTTCATACATTTTTCTTTTCGTATATCATTTAAAAATTTAAATTTAAATTTTCTCATGAAATACCGCTACATATTTTTGCCCTTTGAAGAAGAAAGACTTGTGTCATATCCTTTCAAAATGCATATAGCTCTGTTATAAAATTATTATAATATGAGGGAGGATATTGCCATATTCTAGTATAGTATGTTAATCATTACGGCAAAACTTCGTTTTTGAAGAAAAAATTCGGTAGTTATTTAATGTGAGTAAGTATAAAATATTGTTACTATATTCAGTCTTAAAAATTAATTAACTTTTATTTTAAATATTATGCGAAATTTTTTAATCTCTTTGCAAGAAAGAACTGAAAAAAAAAAAAAAAAAAAAAAAAAAAGGGGGGGAAATGAATTTAACCACAGGGGAATGTTACGGCGATAAACTTGTTCCCTTTTTCATTCAAATATGTTAAACGAAAATGATTTCTTTCAACTAGAGAAAGAATGTGTGCGTGACGGAGGGTAAAGAAGACAATTAGGCGAGCAAACAAGAAGACAATGTTATATTATTACAATGATGAAGTCGAATGCAAAAGAACTAGTTTCCATCCCGTTTGAACATTCTATGAAAATTCTGATTGACGCTGGTAGGCAACCAGTCTTCTGCATCCACTGAAAATGATCTTCAGATCACCACTAAAGGTAAAACGACCTCCAACTAAAGCAAATTACATTTAATCAGTTTTTAAAACATTATCTCTGTAAAATGTCCATGTATTAAAAATTTAAAGCATGTTATTTAACTTTCACTGTTTCATCCTTTAAAATTCAGTTCAAATTTTTATCTTTATTTATTATTTTAATTAATTATTAATTAATTTACTTTATTTATTAATAATAATTAATAATTTTATTTATTATTTTAATTATTATTAATTTTAATTAATTTAATTATATTTTATTATTTTAATTAATCGATGAATGAATTATGATTATTCATAAGTTTACTGCAATTGCTTAGCACAGTTCGCTTAGTATTCAATAATTAACGGATAAATTAATCGCTCTAAACCAGGTTTCTTAAACTGTGGGTCGCGATCCCTCAGGGGGTTGCGGGACCTGCAGCAGGGGGTCGCCAAAACTTTTAGCAATTTTGATATTTCTTTAACTTACTATAATAATTTTACAATTACCAAATATTTTTACACAATGCATCTGAAAATAAGTAAACATAAGACAATACAGACAAAGAAAAAAAGGAAAATCTTTCGGCGCATTCTTTTGATAATATAAACGTTCATTTTCCTTGCTTTGCACGCGACGCTGTCATTTCGTCAGTTACTTATTTAAAATTTTCACATTGTTCTATGTCTTAAAATTAGAAATTAAAGTTAATGACCTAAAACTGCAATAGTATATTACAGTACAAGTGAAAAAATTGACAGTTTTACTCACGCGTGTGTAGGATTTGCGTAATACTTATGGGATCAAACAAAATTTTTGTAAATATTATGGGGCTCTGTGGGGCACAAAAAAAATTTCAGTGATAAAAAGGGGTCGCGACTGAAAAAAGTTTAAGAAAACCTGCTCAACGAGGGTTTCTCATATTTTTATTGTCGGTATAAAAAATGTGAAATAAAATGTCTTTTTCTTGATTAAAATCTCTAAAAAAAAACCTTTTGACATAAAATATTGCTGAGAAATAATTCAACGACTTACGCGAAAATCTTGAGCAATTTCTTACTAGATTCCACTGCGTCATCCAATTTCATCCATTTGATTATTAATGGGAAATATCTAATCCAAGGAAAGAATACGTGGAATGCCGCTTGCCCCAAAGCTTTTTCAACGTCGTTTAAACTTTTGTCCAATTCTACTCTCTCGGGATCATTGTATTCGTACCTTTTACCAAAAACCAGTGAAGATATATTGTTGGACATACTTGGAGTTAACGGAGTCATCACATCGAACGGTTCTCCATTATGTTTGTTCAGAACTTCCAAGAAGTTGCTGATTTCTTCCTGTACAAAAGATGAAAATTTTTAGAATGTTGATAAATAAATTAAGGAAGGGAGAGCAAAAGGTTAAACGTAAACTGTTTTGAAGTCGATAATTCAGAGTCTTCAGTTCTGCGTGTTAATTCTACATTTTTTCTTTTTTCACTCTCGTTATGACTTTGCTTTAAACGGGCGAAGTGTTGATCTTTGATAGATCTTATTGGTTTAATGTGAAGTTTACCAGAAAAAATTTGGAACTCATGCTTTGTATTGCTCCTGCTCGCCGATTTATCTTATTTTTATTACTGTTTTGTATGATTGTGTTTTATTTTTTATGTTTCTTATTTATTAACAAGCTTGGTATGATCGAGGCGACCTACACTGGTCATAATGTCTTCATTGACAAGGGACCGGGTCGTCCATAAATCCAATCTCGTAATGACTTACTGTATCACAGAATTTCAGTCGTCTCAAGACTTATACTCAAGGTAAATTGCAATGTTTATTATATATTTATAATTAGTTACATTTAATTTTCTTTCTCCCTCTCGATTTCTGATTTCGTATGCATTGATGAGCCGGGTACATAAAAACGTGGGAATTAAACGAGAATATGGAATTTATCTTTTTTTTTTTTTTTTTCTGGTAGAAGAAGTTTTAAACATTTCACAAACAAAAAGACTTTGCTCTTTGGAACAAAAACATAAATTAAGGGCTAAAATGTGTTGAAAATTAAATTTTATCTCTAACCTTAATGTTTTGATGAACACTTTGATTGTTTAGCATATTTTGTTTTCTAGTTAAAGGCTAGAAATATATTAAGTATTATATTTGATCTCGAAACTTTGATGTCCCGATGAATACTTTGATTATTTAGCATATTTTGTTTTGCTTCTGTTGCTGTTTCCCTCATATTTATAGTGGTTTTAACGTCCTTGTATTTCCCTGACGATTTTACTCCACAGGAGAATTTTATACCTAAATTTTACGTAATACGCGTATAATCGAATATGGAAACATTTGCTCATCACCCAACACACCTACAGTTCAGTTGTTGAGATGATGCAAAGAAGAGATTCATGTTTAATTGACATTAGTTGATTGTTTTGATTGTGAGAATATTAAAATTAACAGTCTCACAATCATGCTGTTTCATCGTCACCTTTTATTAGCAAGCAATTCATATTAAAAGTGGTGTCCTGTCTTAGCATTTGTGCACATTGCCAATAGCCAACAATCGCAACTAGAAGAATAAATATTTAGCTTTGGTTTTTAACATAATGCTCTTGCGAGTTAGTATTTTTTATACTAATAAAAATAACTACATGGACAAGTACCAATAATCAAAACTCTCATTGGCAACTTTTGCTTCCAGTAGTACAAACAAATATGTATTTGGTGGTCGTGTGTGCTTAATGCATGATATAATTAAAGAAAATAAGAGTAGACAATCTCCTATAACAAAAGAATATATTAAGTACTAAATTACAATTTAAATTACATTGCAGAGATCAACGCAGAGCTCGGAACACAGTTCATGCTACCGTCGCGTACAGTTGTTTTTCGAGAAGTCTGAGTGAGTAATGACGTCATTTTGCTGCTCCGATTAAGAACTGGATTTTACACGTGGCGCCATCTCATGAATAGAAGTTGAAGTATCTGTCGGAACGCCACATGTATAATGACAAGAAACGTTTCTGTCACTTGTGGCAGTAATACAGAAAACTGCAATAAAATTCGACGATTAGAAATTTCGATACTTCATACTCAAAACTGCTTCTTACCAAGAATTATATTAAAAATTAATATTACCTTTTCCAGATAAACGAAATATTCAATAAGTCAAAATTGTTCGGTGAACCCAAACATATATCTTTCACATTTCCTTTTTTGATAAGTTAGATATCGTCTCGAAATCACGAAGTTCATGTTTATATCCAGATTGCAGATTTCCCAGTTACGAAGAAGTTCCCAATTCTATGGTTTATTGGATCAAAATTCACATCCACAAGCAATCGCCTTCTTCACCGTGTGAGTATCTAACGCTATAACTTATTTTAGAATTCAGGCTATATTTTTTATAAAGTAAAATTAAGGTATTTCTTTTTTCCCATTTTTATTTTTATTCATTTTGCTTAAAAATTTTTATTATTTAAAAAAATTCAATGATAACGGATTTAAAATTTTTTCCTCTGCCTTTTCCGCTGTCTTTTCATATAATTTTCCTACCGTCCAGTCAAAACGAAATATTATCAAATGAAAAAAATTGTCACTTTCAAAGCGGTATATACAGGTCACCATAAGAATTATTAATGCGTACGCAAAATAATTAAATTTCATTAAGGGGTACGCGAAAGAAAAAAAGGCGATAACCATTGATCTAGACCCTTCCACGTTACAGAGCCCACCGGAGCCCGGCTCCGGTAATTCTTAGTTTTGGGAAAATATTGTAATTCTAGTCGGAGCGCACCGGAGCCCTAAATAAGAAGGCTCCGGCAGTTTTTTATGAAACGGAACAATTATTTTAGTATAAATTTGATCTAGAAAATTTTATTTTAGCTATAAAATTATATAAAAAATCGTTTATTAAATTTTATCTCTTTACATTTTATTTAATTTTAATTATTCAATTACTTTAATCTTTAATTATTAAAAATAATAATAAATTAATTGTGAATTAATTAAATAATAATTAATGAATATTAATTATTAATATCAATTAAATAATTGTTAATTAATTTAATACTCATTAATTATTTAATTTTTAAATTATTAATGATTTTAATAGTCATTTTGTTTATTTATTTACTCTTGTTCCTCATTCGTGATGGTCTTTCATTGGGCTCCGGCACATCTACTTTTAGAAATTAAGCCCTGCCACGTTACATTTTGGATTTGTAAAAGATGTTAGTTATCCAGGATAGCAAATAGATAATAATTAATTTCTTTTAATTTTTCGTATCTTCGTTCGAAATAGCAGCATTTTGAAGCAAATCAGTTTAAAATTTCGCGATTTCATCTGGATATAAACATGATTGAAATTAAAACATCTAGCACTTCTTTATTTTCTGCTATAAAAGCACTTTTTATTTTGTAAAGTTAATTTTCTTATCGATTGATTCTTGGTGATATGAATTATTTACCTTTCGTTTTTAGTTTCTGTTTAAATTCTGTTGATATATTCAACAGAATTAAGCTTTATAGCTAAATTTTAACATTTTTTAAAAATATTTTCAGAAATATTTTCTCTTATTTGGTGTGAAAAACGACGTAATTCTTCTGTAATGCATTTGGCTTCCTACCCAGTTACAGTTTTGGATTGCAAGGGTTTATTTATTTTCGTGTTCCTTGCAGCATTCAATTCCCGCAGACAACATGCATAAAAATTTTAAACTGATTTGCTTCAAAATGCTGCTATTTCGATCTTCTTTAATGATTTGTCATTCAGTGCCACATGTTTTAATAACCAATGTATACCGGATATTTATAGATTTAATTCTTTAATTGTAGGGTTACCCTTAGTTTGAATAACCAATAGTCTAATTTTTGTTATCTTTTCTGAACTCCTCAATTGCTCTCGTATTTCTTCGCCAGGATGCAAATTAAGTTAAGGTGAAAAACAGTATTTAAACAGGCGAATAGAGAAAGTTAGTCAAAACGTAATTTCGCTAGCACAGCGCACGTTGCTATTCTGTCCTTCCTGCAGTTACTCTGAGTAGCCGATACGCCTTCTGGCCGTTTATGTAAAGTCTATCACCGATGTAGGTTGCTGAGACAGCCTGTTAATTTTAAGTAGTCTAGCACTACTCTTTGCCATTTAAAGTCATTGCTAAATTATTCTTAACTTCCCACCGCAAGTAGTCTGTGTTATTGTGAGCACGAAGTACGTGCATTTTTGTTGATCAGTTTAATCAAATAAAAGAGCAATTTAAACCTTTCTTTGTGTTTTAGTTCTTCACTCCTGTGCGAGAAGTCGCCTGGCTTATTACTAAGATCATATTTTTGCGTAATAGCTATGCGAAGACCACCAAAACTTATGAACGATTTCCTTTTTTAAGTCACTACCACTTCCATCTATTTTTCATATAAAACAGAATAAACGTTCTTCAATAGTTAATGAATTAATTTTTATGCGCTGTTCAGGGTATTTCAAAGCGTTCAATTTTGCGAATATTAGGTGTTTGCGAACTAAATCTTATTTACAGCAATAAATAAGCTTGCCAAGTTTGTGTAATTGATTTTAATATTTTTATTTCAATGTGTTTACTTGAAATACTTAAATCAACAGCATTATCGATTTCATTCTTAATCTTTTCCTTTACGTTTCAATTGTTTTCTTAAATTTCCTTTTAAAAAAGCAGAACCCTTTTTGAATACATTTTTATATTGGTTACCTTAGAATCAACGTATCGAAATTATACTTTTAATTCAAAATTGAAATCTGGGATTCATAATTTCTTTATTAAAACGAATTTCCGAATTTCTGTAGGTTATCTAGAGCCCCTTCTACTTGTTCCCCTGAGAAAAGCGAGGCACTTATCCAAACTTTGACAATCCCCCCTCCCCGCGAGATCTTGAAAATTGCCTTCTCTCTGCAAATTTTCGATGAACATGCGAACTAGCATGGTGAATAACAGCAGTAATAGGATACTGCTAAGTGCAACATCTCCCACAAAATTAGGATGGAAGTCGAAAGTTAAGAGGGGGAGGGTATTAGAGATATCAGGGTTCTTCCCCCTTCAGACCAAACAATTGTTTCAGAAATATTCAGTATTTTTTTTTTTTTTTTTTTTTTTTTTCCCATTAAACCTTCAACAGTGGTGAAAAAACAGGTTCTACGTATATTTACCTAAGAAACAACATAAAACAATTTACATCACTTACCAGGATGTGTCCTTCAATTTTTGATTTACCAAGCCCAAGGTCCTTCATTGACTGTACGACAAATCTGCGCTGTTCCTGCCAAACGTGAATGTTCGTGTCGAAGAATGGACCTGGAAATTTCCATCCCCACATTTAAACATTAATTGCATATCAAGGATGCACAATTTATGGAACGAGAGTACACATATGAATAGTTATTTTTAAAGGACGTACGCATTTAAGTGAATATAGTTTCGAAAGGAAGAAAGTTCTTTAAGAAGAGCATGCAGAGTAATTACTTTTAATACTTAAAAACATACGCTTGCATATATTATAGCTTTTATTTAACTCAAGGCCAAAAATAAAGTTTCTGCTATACCACATTCAAAGTCGTCGTAAAAATAAATGCTTCTTAAAGGTGATTATTACATTCCACATGGATTCAAAAAACATTTAAAAAGGAATTCCATGCATTTTAAAACAAATATAATCTTTCAATAAGTAATTCATAAATGTAAAGGAACATATATATCTGTGTAGTTATAAAGTTCTGAAACACAGTAAAATTCCGCTTAAGCGAACTTCGCTCTGCATGAACACCGCTTAAAAGTAACGATAGACAAAAGTAATAATATAGTAGCCAGATTCCGAAAACCGATCATTTATAATTTCTTAAAAACAAATATTTTAATTAATTTCTTTTCTGAAAATTTTAATACATAGTTTAAAATGAAAACAGTTAAAAAAAATCATAGAATTCTGAAACGATCTAAGAATATTATTCATAAAAGAAGTTTGTTGTTCAAGCGATTTCTTTCACATTTACTAACCAATGATAATCTGATGCTCACACTGCTACGATTGGATGTGGAAATCTATTCCTGTATTAAATATAGATTAAGTTGCCTGATGTGCGTTATCCTTTTTTATAGGTCTTCTTAGATTAACACTCTGACATCAGCTTTATTAACATTGCATAAATTTCATTCATTAACAAACTCAGTTTTTTTGTTATTCACAGCAGTTTCATGGTAAAGAAAGTACATATCACTATCATTAAAAAAAAAAAAAAAAAAAAAAAAAAAAATCTGAAAGGTTTTAGATTTTAAATTACGTCCTAAGGGGCGTTTTTTTAACGTTTCGTGTGTTACCTTTATTTATTAAATAACATGTTCTTTGCTCTTAAACCATAAAATTCATTTCAATAACAACGTCGCAAAATAACTTTAAAACGAGCATATCTTTAAAATTTCTGATACTCAGTTCCGCGCGCTGGAGATAAGAAGTTTTTTTTTTTTTTTTCCCGTAGAGTTGCTCGCTTTGAAATTCTTGAGTTTGTTAATCAAAAATTCGTTAAAGTTTTACAAAATATGAAATCGTTAATAAAACGAATTCCAAATTTCAAATTTGGTCTTCCATATTCGTAGGAGTATTACGTAGGCCCATATTCGTAGGAGTATTACTTCATTCAAAATTCGATGGCTCTATGTACCGTTGTTTTATCATAATAAAAACATACATACATTCATGCAGATTTTTCGTTATTTAATTTCTTCAAATATAATGCAGGACTCTAACATTTGGTGGCAACAGTTTGAAAAGTGAAACGGACATTTATAGTGATTCATCGCAAAACGAAAACAGTAGTCCTTCAGGGACAAAGCCCTTTTGGACTAAAAAGAGAGAGAATTGAAAGATTTAAGATTTTAACGTTCACTCTTAAAGATTTGTTAAGGTTTTCTTATGCTCTCGCTGAGGTGCTAATCTACCAGTCTGCTGTTACAGTCACTCCTACAACCTCATATTTTTTGTCTTTTTAGCTTTATTATTAATCATCATTTTCTTCTATATACAATTCAACAGCAAAATTAAAAAGAATTAAAAGCAGCATTCCAGCTTATGTTTAGAATTCTTGATGCAGTGTTAAGTGTTGGCATACATTTTTCTATTTGTTTTCAGTCTTTTCTCAGTTCATCATATCAATGTTCAGTTTGTATAACAAGATGGCTTGCAAAAAATTTTTTGGTCTTTTTATTATTAACATTTCTGCATTAACTTTAATTATTAAATAGCATGTTCTTCGCACTTACGCCACATAAAATTTGATTCGACAGCAAAATCATAAAATATTTAAGAACAGCATAGGTGTAGAATTTCCAACAGACAGTCTGGCGCATTACAGATAAAAATATTTTATTCCGTACAGTATTGCCATTGCTCACTTCCAAATGCTTGAAGTTTGTTAATCAAAAATTCTTTTTACAAAATATGAAATAGATAATAAACCAATTTCGAAATTCAAAATTCGGGCTACCAGGTGCACATGTTCGGATTGAGGACTATGTTATTCAAAATTAGAAGGCTCTAGGTACTGTCTTTTTTCACAATGCGAGAAGCATACATAAATACATGAAGACGGTTCATTATTTAATTATTTTTAAAAACCACAGGACGATAATATTTGCTGGCAACAGTACGAAAAGAGACTCATCATTTATAGTGATTCGACACAGAATTCGAGACTAATAGCCCATTTTGGGATAAAAACGAAAAAAAGAAAAAAAACTTTGAAAGCTTTCAGATTTTATATTAGGCCCAAAGGGACTTTTTTAAAATTTACCCACACTTACACGTTTCGAGGGCATTTGGGATAATCCCTTTGGGCTAAAAAATGTTTAAAAATAACATATCTCTAGAATTTCCGATAGCCAGTCTCGCGCACTGGAGATAAAAATGTTTCCTTCCGTACAATGTTGCCACTGCTCGTTTTGAAATCAAGTTTTTTAATCAAAAATTCGTTGAAGTTTTACAGAATATGAAATAGATAATAAAACAAATTCGAAATTCAAATTTCGGGCTTCCAGATGCCCATATTCAGGTGGAGGACTACCTTATTCAAAATTTGATCGATTTAGGTACCGTTGTTTTTTTACAGTGCGAGAAACATACATATATTCATGCAGCTTCTTCGTTATTTAATTTCTTTGAATATAACACAGGACAACAACATTTGTTAGCAACAATATGGAAAGTGATTCAATGCTTTTAGCAATTTGACGAAAAATGCCGTTGCGAGGCAAATAGCCCTTCTGGGCGAACGCGTCTTTGGGCTTAAAAAAAAAAGTGCTTTTACGTGTAAGTTCTAATTTAGACCTTTATTACAAAAAGCGCATTTTCACTTCTATAATTATACATGTAAACTCCAGGCATGTGTCATAATAATAGGGCAAAAAATTTCAGAAGCTGTTAATTTTGCAGAATAAATTCCTTTCGATTTTTTTCCTGCACTCCATATTATATTAAACATAAAACTCTATATAGAGATTTGAAATTTTAAAATTTCAAGAAGTTGTTGAGTAGTCAAATAAACTGTAGAAGTTTAAATTTATTAACAAGTCATCTTATTATTGCCATTTTTACTTTTATCGGATCCCGTCAGAATGCAAACTAGTTAATTTGTTTAAGTACAGAGTTCTTGAGTTTCAAAGAACAGCTTTTGGCACCATTCTCTGACCGTCTCTCTATTATTTATCACTGCTTCCGAATTACTTAGAGCAGCTTTAGCCTTGGTAACTAACCGTAATTGCTCGAGTAAATTGAGGGCTCGAAACAAAGCTTGTAGACGCGTTTTGTCTTGCAAATCTCATATTTAGTACTTAAATTGTATTTTGTTAATACTCGCAGTCTCCGAACATTGCTTTTGTTGTCACACAGGTTGTGAAAACAGTTAAGCTGACGAATTAAAATTGGTTTATTTAAAAACTTCTGTTTGGGAATTACTTTACTTAAGGGTTCAGAGAGCTTAGTTTGATTCCCGTAAGACAAATTTGGTCAAGAAATTTAATTTCAAAATTTGATATATTTAACGTCATTTCCATCATGCTTTGACGAGATGGTTGATAAATGAATTAGAATAGTTGAAGTAATTAAGTTTATTTTTTCCCATTAAAAGGCATTCAATGATATTCCTTTGCGGTTTTCTAATGGGTAACATTCTTCAGTTTATACTTCCGTTGCAAATGATATGCCAAAGAATTTTCACCCAAATAATTTATAAGTTTTCAAATGCTAAAATAGGCTAATTCAGAAGACAAACAACAAAAATCAGCGTTATATTTACAAAATTTCCACAGGACTAGTTTCGATTGTTTTACCGAACCATCATCCTCAGCTGCAAAACCGCAAATGAACAAGATAGGAAAAAATGATTAGATAAGATAAGATAGCCTGGACAAGAATAAGCAAGTAGCGCCATCTGTTGGCGAAACCAGAACTAAAACATAATTTCTTTAAAGGCCGAAGGTAAATTTGGATTGGAATTAGGATCATTAACTAGAACAGAAAGATTTTTATGAATGTGAAATGCCTCTAGAAAATCCAGTTCTCCAATGGAAGATGTTTTTTGAATAATTTTGGAAGCAGAAAAATTGAAAGTGTGATTTTCGGACCAACAATGTTGCGCAACAGAAGACTTCTGTGTTTCCTTTTTTATAACATATGCCTCATGTTCCTTGACGCTAAATTTTAAGGCTCTCTTAGTTTGGCCAATGTAAATTAAACCACATTGGCAAGGGATCCTATAAATACCCCAGGAATCCATATCCGGAATGGGGTCCTTAAGTATGGAACTCGGAATTTTATTGATGGGAGAATAAACAACCCGAAAGTTAAATTTCTGCAAAATATGTGCAACTTTATAGCTAATTGATGGAAAGGAGGGAAAGACAACAGAATTTTTATAATCTCCTAAAACAAGACCTTTTAGTGTGTTGAGATGAGAATTTTTTAACTGCTTGATTAATAATGTTGGGTGAAAAGCCCCTGTCAATAGCTATTGCTTTTAAATAATTTAGTTCTTCATCAAGGGCTAGTTTGGAGGAGCAAACTTGAAGAGCACGGAAAACATAGGAATAAAATGAAGCTAACTTTTGTTTAGTCGGATGACATGATTTAAAGTGTGGTGGAAGGCAAACCGATGAAGGTTTACGGTAAACCGTAGTACTGAAGTTGGATGTGTTACGTGTGACCAGAATGTCGAGAAACGGAAGAGAATTGCAAGTCTCAAGTTCAAAAGTGAACTGAATAGCAGGATCAATAGAATTCATTGTTGAAAGAACTTTATTTAAATCAT